GGTTGGTTGGTTCGTTGATTGTTGGTTGGTTGGTTGGTTGGTTGGTTGGTTGGTTCGTTGATTGTTGGTTGGTTGGTTGGTTGGTTGGTTGGTTGGTTCGTTGATTGTTGGTTGGTTGGTTGGTTGGTTGGTTAGTTGGTTCGTTGATTGGTTGATTGATTGGTTGGTTGGTTGGTTGGTTGGATTTTTAGGGGAGGGGGTGTTGCTGTTGTTGCATGGCTTATTTTTATTTTTGTTTTGTCTTGTTGCTTTTTTCTTTGGGGGAGGGGTGAGGGGTGGGTTTTTTACGTTTGTTTGTTTTGTTGGGGTTTTGGTTGTTTGCTGTTTTTTGGGGTTTTTTTATTTTGTTGGTGTTTTTTTAAAGGGGGGGGGGGGGGTAATAGGATTTTTAAAATGCAAACACGGGTACTTTGACTTAAGTTCTCCTTACCCGATCTTGAGTAAACATCGAAATGGGTGGCTGGTGGCTGAACATTCTCGAGACGACAAAGGCAGGGTGAGCCTACAGCAGCCAGCCTCTTCCTTTTCAGCCCCTGGTCGTGAGAGCTTTTTGCTGCTGACACAGAACGACGTCTTTTTCCCGGGCTTGGTGTTGTTGTTGTTGTTGGTGTTGTTGTTGTTGGTGTTGCTGTTGTTGTTGTTGGTGTTGTTGCTGCTGCTGTTGTAGTTGTTGTTGGTGGTGGTGATGTCGTTGGGGGCGGTGATGGTGCTGTAGTTGTTGTTGGTGATGTTGTCGTTGTTGGCAAAATGGAGGGTCCAGTTGTGGAGGTTGTAGGAACTGGTGGTGTTGTTGTTGCAGTTGTTGGGAGTGTTGTTGTTGTTGTTGTTGTTCTTGCTGTTGTTGTTGTTGCTGTTGTTGGGGGTGTTGTTGTTGTGGTTGTTGTTGTCGTCGTCGTGGTTGGTGGCAGCACTTCACAAGCTATGCCAGACAAAGCCAATTCGTATACTTCTCCTTCGTGTATGGAGACTTCCGGGGTGAGGAAGGGGTCAAATACCACAGTTTGCTGGCAGGGGGGTTAAGGGGAGGGGGTGGGGGGTGTAGAGTGGGAACGGTTATTGTTGTTGATTCTCGTATATGTATTTTTTTTTTTAATAGTTTTGTTTGGTATACTGTGGCTGGCATCATTTACTTATGATTCACATATCACTCATCAATAAGGATTATCTATTTATTATTCCCTATCTAGAGGACAATGGCTGATAAAACTGAGTCTGGTAAAGACATTGGAGAAGACTGCAAACGATGGCAACTGAAATCCAGCAAAAATATCCACGATTCACATCTATCATGGAGCCACGGTATTGCCCATGGCTATCATCATCGACTCCGCTTCGCCCTGGTGTTTTGAACATTTCACTTTCACTTTCAGCAATTATCAATGATCTGAATGACCCTGGATTTGAGAATGTTTTTGTGTACTGTTGCTAGAGATTCCTACAGCTGTATACAGCAATAAGGACGGGGGAGGGG